CACACAAGATGACTTTACACATGGACCTCATCTAATCAACTGCACAGGAGTCAGATTGACTATATCTGTGATACAGTGAAAGCATCATTATAAAAGCGCAGTATCAGCAGTCAAAGCCAGGTGATGACTGTGAAACGGACTACCCATTACTCATGTGCGTGTTCAAATTGAAGCTGAAGAAAATGAAAACAAGTCCACAAGAACTGAAATACAGCCTTGATTTTATCCCTTTTGGATATAAAAATCATATCCAGAACAGGTTTGAGGCATTGAACACTAATGATCAAAGACCACACTAGTTATGAGATGACACCAAGGATATCATCCATAAAGACAGCAAAAGGGTATTTCAAAGACAGAAGAGAAAAACCAAAGCAAATGTCAGAAATTGTTGTTGTTTGGTGTGGTCGAGTTGACAAGTATGACCCGTAGTGACCCTATTAAAAACAGATCTAAACTTGTCCTGCACCATCTTCTGCGGCAATATCTATGTCAGTCCATCTGGTTAAAGATCTTACTGCCCTCCTAGCAACATGCCTGAAGTGAGTGAGGTGAAGCTTTGTGCCTGATCATTTTTGCCTCCAAAGAGCACTCTGGCTGCACCCTCTGCAAGACATATTTGTTTGTCCTTTTGGCAGTCCATCGAATATTCAGTACTCTTCACCGGCACCACTGTTCAAAGGCACCGATTCTTTTGTCATCCTTATTTATGCTCCAACTCTCAGATGCATAGCAAGTAATAGGAAAGAGCATGGCCTGAATCAAACCCACCTTAGCTCTCAAACTGACATCATTATTCCTCACTAATTTGAAGAGGTCTCTAACTGCATTGTTCCCCAGTAGAGTATAGCTCTTGATTTTCTGATTGCTGGCACCAAAGGTGTTAATTATGGAACCAAGTAAGATGAAGGTGTTGATAGTTTCAGTTGGTCAAGTGGTAAGAATCTTTGTTTTCTTGACATTGAGAGGCAGTCCATATTGAAGACTTTATTTTTTGATCTGTAACAAGCTTATCAAGTCCTCTTCACTTTTCAGCAAATAGAGTTGTGCCATCTGCATAACACATGTTATTAATGAGTCTCCCTCCGATGCTAATTCTGCATTTTTCTTCATAGAATCTAGCTTCTTGAATAATTTGCTCAGCATACAGATTGAATGGGTATGGAGAGAGACTACAACACTGAAACACTCTCTTCTTAATTTTAAACCATGTACTATTCTTTTGCTCTTTTCATACAGCAGCCTCTTGGTCTAGATATAGGTTTCACATGTGTACAATTAAGTGCTCTGGGATTCCTATTTTTCTCAATGTTAGCCACAGCTTATTATAGTCCACACAGTCAAATGCCTTTGCATAGTCTATGCTAGGAAATGGAGAACCGCTGACTGGCCACTGGATTGGAAGAGGTCCATATTTGTTTCCATCCCCAAGAAAGGTGATCCAGAATGTGGAAGGTATCAAACAATATTATTACATGCAAGCAAAATACTGTTAAAGATCATTCAAAACCATCCAGAATAGTAGATAGAGATAGATAGGATACTGATCGAAGTTCAAGCAGGATTTAGAAAGGGACATAGCACTAGAGATAGCATTGCTGATGTCAGATGGATCCCGGCTAAAGTAAAGATGTCAGAAGAGACTAAAAATTGCACTATAGTGTCGAGAAGCCAAAACAAAGGGAAAATACACTGAAGAAAAAGAGATGAACAGAAGATTTTCAAGGGCAGCTTGAGAAGACAAAGCTCAGTATTGTAACAGAATCTGCAAAGAGTTGGAATTGGAGAATAAAAAGGGAAGAAATCACCCAGCATTTCTCAAGTTGAAAGAACTAACAAACAAATTCAAGCCTTGAGTTTTAATTCTTTGAGCTGCTATGGGCAAAATCTTGACTAGTCCAAGAAAAACTCAAGTGAAAATGGAAGAAATACACAGAATCACTATACCAAAAGAATTGATTGACATTGAAAAATTTTGGGAAGTACTATATGAATAAGGACCAATGATAATGAAAGAAGAACTTAAAGCTACACTGAATGCATTAGCAAAAAATAAAGCCCCAGGCTGAGGATTGGCAGATGGGTAAAACAAGTCGGTGTGTCACTCGGCGCTCGGACTTCTGCTTGGCTCCCTTTTGGTATCGAGATGCCTAAGAAGGCTGGTGCGATGAACAAGGCTAGTGACAAGTCCAGTGGCAGCTAGAGGGTGGGCCACAAGGATGCTCGCTGCGGAGCACTAGGGGTAAAAGCCAGAACAATGAACCAGAGAGACCACTTCCTTCCCTGGGTCCTGTGGCAGTGGATCCTAAAGGTTGTGTCACCATAGCCATCCACGCCAAGCCTGGCTCCAAACAAAACGCCATAACAGATGTGACAACAGAGGCTGTAAATGTAGCCATCGCAGCACCTCCTTCAGAAGGTGAAGCCAACGCCGAGCTCTGCCGATACCTGTCCAAAGTCTTAGAACTCAGGAAGAGTGATGTGGTTTTGGATAAGGGTGGGAAGTCTCGTGAAAAACTGGTGAAGATTTTGGCCTCCACAACTCCAGAAGAAATCTTGGAGAAATTACAAAAGCAAGTAGAAAATAAGTAGAAGAAATGAAAACATTTACTGAGGAACTTTTTATTGCTAATAAGTTGCTAAGTAGGAAAACATTTAAATACACAGAAAAACAGAACTGATTTTTTTAAATAAAGTTTCAGATAAGTAACAAGGAAGTAAGAATTTTAAAAGTACCGAATTGAATAGCTCATAATAGTATTGAATAGTGGTTTTGAAGTTCCTGACCCAAACTAGAATGGAGCCTATAATTCTGATTCCACTGAATTCTTCATAACACAGTTGGAGAGGACATTCACAGCAGCCTGATGTAATCCCTTCCCATATTGTGACAGGCCTCTGCTGTCCAAGGGTTGAGAAACTTACTCAACATCCTCAAATCATGTAAGATGGAATCGAAGCCCAAATCTCGTGATTCCTAATTGAATGCAGTTTATACTGATTGTAAATTAAAATTCTACTTCTACTCTTGAAAAAAAAAAATAAGGCCCCAGAAAATGATGAGGTACCAATTGACATGCTTCAACTAACAAAAGCAGCCCTGGAAGTGCTCATCAGTCTGTGCTTGGAAATTTATAGGACAGCTACCTGGCCAGCTGACTGAGAAAGATCCCTCTTTGTTTCCATTTTCAAGAAAGGTAATCCAACAGGATGTGGAAATTATAGAACAATATCATTAGTATCACATGTAAGCAAAATATTGCTGAAGATCCCTTGAAAACAGCTAGAACAGTACACTGAGAGAAAACTGCCAGAAGTTCAAACTGGATTGAGAAGGGATCATGACATTACGGGTATTATTGCTCGTGTCAGATGGATCCTGAATGAAGGCAAATACCAGAAGAATGTTTATTTGTGTTTTATTGACGAAGCAACACATTTAACTTTGTGGATTGTAACAAAGTATGGTTAATATTGAAAAGAATGGAAATACTAAAACAATTAATTATGCGTAAATGATACCTACACCAAGAGACTGTTGTCTGAACAGAGCAAAGGAACACTGTATGATTTTTTTTTTGCATGATTTAAAATTAGGGAAGGTATGTGTCAGGACTGTATACTTTCTCCGAATCTATTAAGTCCATATGCCAAGCAAATCACTCCAGATGTCAGACTGTATGAAGATCTTATCTGGTGTCAAGATCAAAGAAAGAGTCATCAACAAAATGTTATGCAGGTGACACACCTTGCTTGCTAAAAATGAGGAGGACTTCAAATGTTTACTGCAAAAGATCAAAATGGATTGCATCTCAACATCAAGATGTTCGTTACTGGACCTTTAAACAACATTATATAAAGAAAAGATTGAAGCTGTGAATGATATCATCTTACTTGCATCCATAATTAATACACTTGTAACCAGCAGCCATGAGATTAGGAGAAGAATTGCACTGGGCAAGTCTACTATCAAGGACCTCTCTAAATTACTGAGGAACAGTGATGTCAGTTTGAGGACTAAGGTGCAACTGAGTCAGGCCATGCTCTTTTCAATTACTTGCTATATGATGCATCTGAGAGCTAGACAAAGAGTGAGAGGACAGATGAAGAATTGATGCCTTTGACTTAAGATGGTTGAGAAGAGTAGTGGATATCCTGTGGACTTAGAAAAGAACAGATGTGTCTTGGGAGAAGTGCTCCTTGGAAACAAGGATGGCAAAGCGTCATCTCATACATTTTGGGCATGTTTCTAGGAGAGGCTATTCCTTGGAACATCACATCATACTTGGAAAGTGGCGGGGGGTGGTCAGTGAAAGAGGAAGATCTTCAACAAGGTGAATTGACACAATGACAGGTCAGAATTCAGATCTGTTGTTCATAGGATCACTTTGAGTCATACTTGACTCAGCAGCACCTAACAACAAAAAAAGAATTAAATTCATGAAACACTGTACAACATGGATAAATCTAGAGGAAATTATCTTGAGTGATGTAAGTCAGTCAAAGTAGAACTATTACAGTATAAGGCTGTGTTTATAAAAAGCTAAGGAAGGACATTTACACACAGATTCATTCTTAAATAATTGCCAGGGATCAAAAGGGAAGGAGAGAGGAGTAAAATTTGATAAATAAGTTGGATGGTGGTGTTAGGTGCTGTTGAGTTGAGTATGACTCATTGCGACCCTAAGAACAAAAGATCTGAACCTAATCCTGTCCTGAGCCATCCTCACACTTCCTGACACTAAAGAGCCCAGTTCAGCAGTCACAGTCTACCCGGCTGAGGGTCTTACCCTCCTTTGCTGACCCTCCACCCTTCCCAACATCATGTCCCTCTCCAAGGAATAGCCCCTCTTAGCAACATGTGAGGCAAAGCCTCATCATTCTTGCCTCCAAAGAGCACTCCAGCTGCACCCTCTCCAGGACATACCTATTCGTTCTTTTGGCCGTCCATGGGATGTTCAGTGCTCTTCTCCAGCACCACAGCTCAAATGCGTCAATTCTTTTTCTGTCATCCTTATTCATTGTCCAGGTCTAGGATGCATAGCTAGTAACCAGAAAGACTATGGCCTGAATCAGACGCACCTTAGTTCTCAAACTGCTCCTCAGTAATCTCATCATTACTCCTCAATAATTTAGAAAGGTCCCTAACTGCAGATTTTTCCCAGTGCAGTGCATCTCCTTATTTCCCGACTGCTCATACCAAGGATGCTAACAGTGAATCCAAGCAAGATGAAGCTGAAGTTGGATGTAGTGAAAAGTAATATATGATAAGGGATTGATTGTTGTTGTTGTTGTTGTTATGTGCCATCGAGTCGTTTCCAACTCATAGCGACCCTATGCACAACAGCCCTAAACCCTGCTCTATCCTGCGCCAACCGCACTGCCTCTGACACACCCATCCCTAATAACC